TGTGCATGAACCACCCTTATCTGCTTATGTCTCTGATGATGGATTCGAGCAGGAATCCGAAACGTCAGGCTAATAAAGCTCTTGTCCCGGCGATCGTGTCTTCTTCTTCTTCTTCTTCTTCTTCTTCTTCTTCTTCTTCTTCTTCTTCTTCTTCTTCTTCTTCTTCAATAAGACGCTATGTTCACAGCCCAAGGCAGCGAAATAGCCGATAGGAACCCAAGGACGAATGACGTTTGCGAACCCACAAGCGTAAAGTGGGAACGATGACCTAACGGCACGATATAATGATGCAAAATAGCGGGATACAATGGAGTCGCTAAGGCAGCCAGCAAAGGTCACGTATGCCTAGTTAGCGTGTATACCAATCGACAGGTAAGCTGAATGTGCTGTTTAAGCAGAAATTTATGTTTTAGGGTAAGGTGATTCCATAATAACAGCACAGCTACTAGCCAAAAGCCCATACACGCGTGTTTCGCCGATATTCTGCCGCTACATGACACAGCTGTGAGGTGTTCGGCTAGTCAGTTGGTCCCTCAGCATTCCCTGTCTGCTTTCTTGTAGATACGTCAGTTTAGAAAGTGTAGCTTTTTAAATTTCCTCAGAAATTACCCCCGAACTTGGAGTGGATCAGTATATTTAAGGTCCATAGGCTCAGACCTAGGTTTTTATGTAGGAATATCTGGGCCGAAGTCCATCAGTCACAGTGGATAACCGCGTAATATTCGTTAACTGCCCACAGGTAGCTAGTAGTATACTTCGGGGTAAGGTAGTTCCATAATGCCAGCACAGGTACTAAACAAAAGCCCATACACGCATGTTTCGCCGATTTCTGTCTCTGCCGCTAGATAAAAAGTTATGTCTGAGCCTCTAGACCTTAGATATATTGATCTACTCCAAGTTCGCAGCTAATTTCTAAGGAAATTTAAAAAAACTATAAAAACTTTTGTTATCTTCAAAAAAGGTAATCAGTGCGCCCAAGTTGGACAACACTACTTTCGTAGGAATCAGTAGGCAGTAATAAGTAACGAGCAAAGTTGGGTCGTATGTTGCGTCTTCTCCCATCCCTATGAGAACTTATCTACTGCTCTAGGTCAAACCACGCTGAGGCAAAGTTTGTTTTTTCCTCACCCGCTTCTCCGGATTCGCTTTATTTCTGAAGCTCTTTTATTGATATTTTGTCTAATTTCGAGGCGGTAAGGAGCCAAGGTCGAACAGCGCATTTGGAAGAACAGAACAGTGTGCACTCAAGCACTTGAACATATACGAGGTGCCTAAATAAAAATACACCTAGCTACGATGTCTTTATGTTTTGCTTGAGATAAGCTTCAAAATATGTTTTACACAAGCTCCTGTCGCCTGAAGTGCTTGCTCATGGACTGGGGGTCTAACGCTGTGTTGCACACTACCAGCTATAACCAATGGAAAGTGTGTGCATTATTTTGGTCTTTTGTCTTGAGTATGATCGCATGAGGGAACTGTATGCATTGGTATAGGGTTTAAGTTCCTCCTTGGCAGCACTGTTGGAAGGTAAATTTTTGTTCGGGTCCCTTTTAGGGCATCAAGACTAAAATCTTCCGACCAAACAATGTCATCAAATGAATAAGTGCTACCCTCGTAGCGGTGGGTAACTTTTTTCTCCAAACTCTTCGTGCACTTTTTCCCCAATGCCATTACATGCTCCTAAGGGAGAAATGCTTTAAGCCTTGACGAAAAGAGATGATTGTTTTTACCTCATCCTCGTAGAGTATGGTGAAGGCTTCTGATAGGCAGACCGTAGAATGGTAACGGTAGAAGAGGTAGACAGGCATGGCTATTGCGATCAGTACCCAGGCGTAAGGTGCGTTGTCTGTTAAGACGTACAGGATATCGGCCTCTTTAAGCTAAAAAATAAACAAGGAAAAAATAATGAAAAGGAGGAAAGAAGAAAAAGAAAAAGAAAAAGAGGAGGAAGGGAAATGCATCGGTGCAGAAAATGACAATCGAGAAGCAGAAAGTCCAAGTAGATATAATGCCTCCTATTCCTTTAGAAGAGACGACAATGAAAACTATTCAGGTTATCAGAAGAGTATCAGAGAAGTAAGGAAGTGGACCGTCAGTATGCTCTAACCTGCTCATCGGAAGCGAGAATTTGCCTTTACTCTTGTCATTAAAGCAAAGAAGGATCTAGTTGAAGTGCTTAAATCGAAGTCGATTTTTTTTAAAATAAACGGCATATCCAGAGACTTGTATGCAAATACAGCAATCCTGTATGAAGATCAGAGGAACCGTTACATCTTTTCCAATCATCAAAGACAGCGTATTTGTAATATCCAAAAAAGAAGTATCAGGATTGCTGAGACGGATTCCATGTTACCAGCTAATTCTCAGGAGGAAACCGACGGTGATTTAGATGAAGTTGGCATAATGAACCCTGGCAAATGGACGCTCAAGGATCGCGTTACGGGACATACTCGGCCGTTGTACCTTGGAGACCACTCTTGAACTTCAGGTATTGCAAAAACCAGGACTAGTGTATGGGGGGCCGTTGACGGCTAATGAGCCAGAAATGACCAGTCTAGTCTTTCTTGTCTTTTTTGGTGATGTTATTCTGCCTGTAGTAGTCGCCGCTGAGTGGCTACTTGCGGGTTTACGAATGGCCCCCAAAGTTGAACGAGACGAGTGCGTCCTCTAACTCGATCGGCGAGTTCCCCCTATTATTGTTAATATACCCGATTTCAACTGACTGTACAACGAGTCCGTGATCCAGTGTCTGAAGTGTTGGACTTCTAATCAACAGGTCCCGGCTTCGAGGATCAAGTGTTGAAAAAACCTGGAGTTGGGTTCAGCTGACTGATGATGGCTAACAAGCCAGAAGTGGCCATCCCAGCCTCCCTCTTCTTTGTCGGTAGGGCTCTTCTGAATACAGACACCCAGCCCCTCCCTGTAATTCTGGTATAGGATGCTGGCAGGTAGTCGTATAATTAGAAGCAATCAGCAACGGAGCTTTGTCGATGGAGACAGAAAAGTAGGAAACTTTCGTTTCTCGCCTTTCTTCCAAGAGTTATTGGATACGGCTGACTGGCTACGCAAATTAAAACAGAATGACTCATCCTTGGGTTTGCCGGTAAGACTTATTACACATTGTTTCTGGTACTAACACCAAAGACGCAATTCATATGTAGTAGTAAAAAATATTGAGCGACCTCGTCAAGAGCACATCACGCACGACCTTCGTGAATAGTCTGTACGCTGCTAAAGGAGGCACCCAGAATACTCGATGCAGTGAAAATAAAAGTGGGTGGAAGAAGCGTTAAATTTGGTCCTGCTGTTACCATGCGCATCAAGAGACCGGATGTGAGAAGTAGGACCAATCTCAAAACCCTCCTTACACTAAACGGTTGCGCTCAGAGGCGTCATCGAATGAAAGTCGATGAGACTCGTTTATTCCTGTAGCCGTTGCATAAGACACACTAAGCAAAAAAGAAACTCCTTGTAAATTCGGCTTCTGAAGACGAAATCCGTGAAAATGACACTTGAATCACGCTCGGGCCCTTCTCCAGAGCCGTCCACCTACAACAAGCTTACAAAGACGGTAGGTCTAAGATAAATCGGAAGCTGTAAGCTTAATGGAGTCAGTATTAATGTTGATTAACAAGCACAGCCAACACGCTTAGACACTAGAGCTCAGTTACTTCAAGCACACCCAGAAGAGAACAGCTATCGCTCGTGGAGAAGGTTTCGTTGAACTCGGATCAAATACAGCCGCAGTGGTAGCTTCGATGATAGGTTCGCAGGCTTCTGTATAATCGAAGTTGGTCAGTTATCTGCCATGCGGACAGTCAAAAACCTATGTAAACATCAGCCTTCCGATAATAACGCCTGTCGTTAGGTTCTATATTCCGGCATCATAGTACCAATTGCTGTTCACACGAGTTTTCCATCTTGTACAGTAGGTACGCTATTTCATGAAATGTCAACCTAAGTTCTGAGAGGAGTTCTCGATTCCGAAAGGTTATTTAAGTAGGGTTGTAGTATTGCTTATCTGGCGGTATAATCGTACGATATTTCAGAAACTCCTGGACTTGGCCCTCTGGATGCACTTATTTTCGATTGCTTGCAAAAGTTGACTTGATAAAAAGTGACCACTTAAGCAGTAAGCATTTTTCCAATTATTTTTGATGTCCTTGTGAACTCAAATATACTTTGTAGATAATATGCACGGAAATATTCGTTCTTATACCCGTTCAAAAATGCTTTGAATTTTATGATTTCAGTTTAAAAATTTTCTATTTATGAGGTTTATCCGGACCGCGCCATGTCCATTTATAAAGCATTGTATCTTTCCAGTTATTAATGTTGCTTGCCAAGCGTCCAACGCGGTCTCAAGTCATTGCAAAATTTTATGAGTGCTATATAACGATTTCTTAATGGAGCATAGAAATTTACAGTTTTCATTACGCAAAAGTATATAGCTTATAGTTTGGAAACCCTGATCGCGAGTACAACGGTGGGCCGGGATGAAAACTATTTAAAAATTGGAAACTTTTTAAAACCGAGAGCTAATCTTTCTATAAGCATAAAATTTAAAGAGGTAATTTTCTACCGAATGAGTGCAAGAAAGAATGCTTTTGTGTCGGTTTTCCGTAAAATGTATCTAAATTTCCAAAGACACCGAAAAGCAATGGGAAATATTCCCCTTTTTTAAGCAGCCATTTTTGCAGAGTGTAATTTTGCCAGCGGCCGAAAGGAAGCTAGCTCAAAAGCCGGTGCCCCGACGTGACCGAAATATTTTGGGATTATACTACACGAGGATGAAAATTTCTCTCCTAAGGAAGTAATCATTGCGAATCGAAAACTACTGAACTGTATCTTGTGTTTGGGATTTCATGAAACCACCTTCAGAACATTATGACCTCCCGACACGACTGTCATGTTAATTTGAAAAAAAAACAGAAACTTAAAACAGCCGCCAGTCAGACACAGGAACTTTTGTAATCTATAAAAGTACGGGCGTACTGAAGTTTCTGTTTACCTGAAAACTCTTGACCACCCAACCAGCAAGGTTAATCCCGAGGAGGATTGCAATCATCTGCCTACCAGGCTTCGAGTTCCGTTGAACTTCCTCCTCACTGCACCGACGGAAACAGTCCTGGATGAGGTAGGTCTGTATAATTACTTCCAGCAGCTCCAACAGGTCTAGTGTTAAACGGCCCATTAGGAGATCCTGAACTTTATACTGTAAAAGAAGAAAGGGGTAAAAAGAGAGAGAGAGCACTTTAAAAAAATTAGTATGGCATAATCTGAGTGCGAATTGCACATCTCAAGAAGTTACAGAGATTACAGACAAAATGCTTTATAACTCACGGGGTAATTAAGGTCTCGCAGTAGGTAGCTAGCCAGCGCCACTGTAGCGACCAGGTAGATGACAGTGAAAGAGAAGGCGATGTACAACTGGAATTCATCAATATTTTTTGGGCGCAATGGAATGGTGAACTTCAGGTGGCGGAGCCTGAGGAAGGCAGCCAGTGTAACAAAAATGCCCATGCAGTCGAGAAACATCTCCTCGGTGAAGAGGACGGCGCACTTCCAGTAGGACACTTTGTCCTTCGGTGTGACACCAGTGACGATTGTCAGAATCACGATAACGGAGACAATCACGATGGGTGACCAGTAGCCAGATTTTATCATGGCTCCCCAGTATCTCACTTGTTTCTTTATGTCCTATAATTCAAATGCACGGTTGCAATTAAAGCCGGGGGATTTTAACTTTTTTTTGTATCAAAATGGTAGCAGAGCCGTAACGAAAACAGGCAGGAATCCGTAGCCTTACCCGCTTTTTGTGCCCCTCATCCTCCTCCAGCTCGATATAACTCGGCTCACCAATGCGCTTTGTAATCTCATAGATGAGGGCCGCAGAGAGGAGACAGTACTCGCTGACCGCAGGCAGGAGATAGAAGGAGGCATGTATGGCTGTGGAGTTTTCTTCTTCGCTAGCCGAATAACCGTTGGTGTTGTGGTTGGCATGCGCACTATCATTGCTAGGGAGGCTTCCGTAGAGATGAAGGGTTGATTTGATCTTCTCCACGGTCACATCAGCCCACATGCACAGGTTTGTGCCGAGAATGTGGATAAGGGAAGCACCGAATAGTTCATGGCTGTCCAAAATAACAATCTACAGCAGGGAAGGCGGAAATCAAAAAGACTGGCATTATGTATCACCGTTTCGAAGACCAGTGCAATCACCAGGCTAGTACTTCCTTGTATTTATTATACGCAGTTAGTGATCATTTTCGATAAAATTCACTTATATTTTACTTGAAATAATTACGTAAACACAATTCTGCACAAGAAAAGGGCATTTCATTGAAGGGTGTGGATGAGCGAAAAAAATGCTCAACGTTAAAGTCCCCCAGAAATTCTCGTATCAGTTTCCGTTATCAGATTTCATGAGATAGGTCACGAACTGTATGCTTTACAAGATTCGGGTCATGTTGGGTTTAGACAGTCCCGGTAAAGTAGAAAATTTTATTCGTCCCCACATCATGATCGGTGGCTACGGATCTGGAGCGATTAATTTGCTTATTTTCCGAGGATAGTAACGAAATACCGATATTCCGAGAAACGTCCACAGGTCTATACCGATTATGTTGGGACAGGTTTTGAGCTGACTACGTTTTCGATGTTTTCCCTTGGAAGTTAACGTAAAGTGAAGGATAGCAGCATCGAACTCCTGAGACCGATGGTAAGAAATATATTCAAACGACCTCGGCCGTCTATTTGGATGGTCTAATACATACATATAATGGTTTGGTAGCAATTGCGGACTGTCTTATTTGAGACAAAGTCGACGTCCTTCACTTGAAAGGATTGTCCGCAGAAAGCGACTTAGTACTTCTGTTTTCGCTCGTTTCCTACGTGCAGGCCCCAAGAATGATCTAGATGCAGGAGGATTGGTCGAACGCACGCCGGATCTATACAGACCCTGCAACGACGGTGACGCTACACTGATCCTTTGAGGAGGTCTTGGTTTTAGATAGTTAAATTGTTCAGTTCATACTGACGGCTGATTGCCACGAAAGTATTTAGCTGGACAGAGATTTCCTTCCATAATACTCTAGTCTTGGTTGCGTGTACAGATAAATCGGCTGATTCGACAACCGCCTTCTGTCTCAGACTGCATTCTATAGCGGATAATATTTTGGCACTAACAGCTTAGCGCATGCAGTGTAGTCGAGTTCAGTCAGCCGGTGTCCTGGTGCAAATTTGACCATTCTGAGAATGCGACAAATGAAGTAATGAAATAGGCTGTAAGACAGGATGCGGCCGCGTCGACGAATGCTAGACCGAATGTCGAGTTGTTAGAGGAGCCGAATGCATCTCACGCCCTTATGAGGAAACAATAGGTTTTGGTCATAGCGATTATTTTGTCAACATGCTGTCAAGCAAATGTCTCCTTCACATTTACCTACAACGAACACAATCTGAAGCTGTAATGAAATTACGAAATCATAACGGCGGTATGATCACAGTTGGTAGCCAGACATTATACGTTGATACTGTCGACGTACGTACTTGTTATCAGTAAGTGTGCTTACCTTGTCTAGGGAACTTGTTATCAGTAGGTGTGCTCTTACTGAGGTAGGCAGGTCGCCCGTTTCGGTCCGGCTGTTGGGTTTAGTGACTGATTGACACCAACTGTCAGTTGGTGTCAGTCAGGGTGAACTTCGCCCGTAGACACAGTCAGTGACCAATCTCATGAAATGTTAGCCTAGATTCTAAAATGCGTTTTCGATTAGGACTGATTACTTATGTGGGGTTGTAATAATGATTATCACTGCCACAATCTCGAGATAGTTCTATTGCGTCAGGACGCCGGCTTTTTGAATCAACTTCCTTCCGTCCGCGAGTAATAACGGAATTCGGGAAAAAAATGGCCGCTTTAGTACACTGAATTTTTTTCCATTGATTCCCAATGGTCTTATGAATACAAACAGTCATTTGAGTTTTTGAAAGATTTGAATAATTTATTTGGCACGGTTTTGTAAAACTCGGCGGCCTTAGCAGGATTCGAAGCCCGAAAGTGAGGACAAGGCCCGAGTACTGCCACCGCTCTAACCAACTGAGCTATGATGTCCCACCAGATTAAATGAAATCCGAATATATTAAATGGAAAAAACTACTAATATGGCCTTTCTTGTGCTCATTTGGTTACAAATAACATCCTCTTCAAAGGCCTTTTTCGGTCTTTAAAAAGTTTTTCACTACCTGAATAATTCCCAACCTATGTGTCTAGTATTTACAACCTACAGGCAGTATATAAGGAAAATCTACCACGCATCTGTGTCATTACAAAGATACTATGCAGGACTCATAGAATTCTGCAATAGACGTGCACTATTTTGGATGCTTCATAAGGAATAGTAATAAAAGGGCAGGTACAATGCTATCTGGATTAACATCTCATGTTCTTAAAAGATCTCATAATTACAAGGTTTTTTAAAACCTAGATATACTCCATCTTCGAATATAAAATTCAAAGGAGACTTGGTTTTGTTACTAAATGAGCTCAAGAAAGAAAATGCTCGTTTGTTTTCCGTAAACTGTATTTGAATTTATGAGAACGTCGAAAATCGATAGAAAATGTTCAAACCACTTAAACAGTTAACCCGCACCGACTGAGGTTTTTTACAGGCGGTCAGAAAGACGCACATTCAGAAGACGGCATCTCCTAAGCAATCTTTCGTAATTCAAAACGCTTGTCAGAATTTCGGTTAAAATTTCCTCTGTAGGGGAGAGAGGTGGCGATGGATTTGGCGACAAAGAAGAGAAGGTGTCCGAAGGGTTCACGCTAAGGCTTGACTATTACGGAATCATCAGCAACAAAGTCCTAACTTACATTGTGGAGGCAACAGCTCGTAGCAGGGAACCTATAACTCATTAGAAAATTAATTCGCTATAGTTTTGAGTGTAGCCAGCTTTTAAGACCTGTCCGATAAAAGTCGCCTTTTGGTCTACAGAAGGACAGGTCTGCCGGATAAGACGGACCTGCTCAGCGCGTCTTGAAGAGGGGGACGAAGAAACAGATAAAAGAGAGATCTTTGATGAATGCAACCTGTGAAACAAGTAGATTTGTGCGTCCGTTGAATAAGCGGTCGCAGACCGGAAACGCCAGTGTCAACAGATCGGGGAGGACAGGGGCCCAGCACACTAACTGCTTCAGAAAATATCGCAGTCCGATGGCCGTACTGTGATGGACGTCTATGAACTGTCATCTAGTTCGCATGTCACCATTATCCTGCAAGTACAGTAGCTGTGCTAATTCATGCAATGTTAACCGAAATTCTGAAATGCGTTTTCGTTTCAAAAAGATTACTTGAGTAAAGTTTAAAAGTTAATCATCCTGCAGCATAAATCTATGGTAATTCAGTTACCGCAAGATGCCAGCTTCCGAACGAACTCCTTTCCCGCCTGATGCAAAAACTGCACTCTGGTACAAAATGACTACTTAAGTAGTGATTTTCGTCGCACCTAAAAATCCAATTATATTTCGTGGAAAGCATGCATAAATATATTCATTCTCTTACTCATTCGGTAAAAATTACGTCTTCTTACAATTTTATACTCGAAGGAAGGATATCATTCGGTTTTCAAAAACGTTCCCTGCCGTTCTACTTGTACTCAGGGTTTTAAATCCACAAGTAGTATGTTTTCCGCATGCGGAAAACCGTACATTTCTCCATCATATTAAGTGGACACCACATGGGGTTCATATAATTTAGCGGTGGATTTGAGCTGTATTGTAAACTTTACAAGCAACATTAGTATATGCAAAGACATGATGTTTTCTGAACGGATATTTCGAGGTATTTAAAAATCTCATAATTAGAAACTTTCCAAAAACCGAACTATACATTCCCCTCGAGTATACAATTGGAGGAAGACGTAATTTTTTACCGAATTCGTAAAAGAAGGAATATATTTATGTATGTTCCCCGTGAAGTATACTTGAATTCTTAAGTGCATTGAAAATCGGTGAGAGAACGCAGGCTACTTAAGTAGTCATTTTTACAGTGTGGTTTTCGGATGCGGCCAAAAAGAAGTTCGTCCGAATGCCGGCATCTCGGGATGATTAATTCTAAAGCCATACTTAAATAATCTTTTGAAACGAAAACGCATTTTAGAATTTCAATTAACATTTAACGACTTAGCACGCCTACGGTAAGTTCTGCCAACCTACTATTCTAGAAGAGACGATCTAAGAAACGTAATCTGGGTTCACATCTAGACCTGTACAGGGGAATTCTAGTAATCTGATGCGTCACAGTCTGTTTCGCCAAATGACGTCATAAGGATTGTATAAGTGCGCAAACAATATGTAGAGATGACGGGCATAGTATGCGACTGCAATTCATACAGAGGCGTTCAAATGCCTCCTGTTGCACCAGATCACGAAACAAAACATTGTGCTCTGCTGGTCTAACGTTAGGGCGTGAAAGGGAAGATGCTCAGTAATACCAGACAGTTACATCAGTCTGTATACCAGGCTTAGGGAAATTTCCAGTCAGTAAGTGATAAACCGAGGTCTTTCGCGTAATTGTTTTAAGGGTCTGTCTAGTTTCCATAAGTTCCCACTGCTCGCTTCTTTTGGTCGGGTCATTCTCCTCCATCATCAACGCTTTATAAAGCCCCAACCGGCAGTGATGATCCAGATTAACCCTTGCATAGGGCCGTGTACTAGACGTTGACTCAGGTAGTGGCGACAAAGGGCCACTCTAGTGGAAGGGTGCGGGTTCTTATGCTGACCACCTGAGAATCGTCGGCGCCACTGGCCCTAAAATACCCAGTGGAAAAATTTCAGCCAGTCAGATTTACTACGTTACCGGTCTCTGCCGGTTTTCGAAAACGGAAAACCCCGTCATATTAACCGAAGCACAGCTGAAGCATGCATTGAATGGCCTGCCATTTAAATACCAGGACTGTGGTCAGCCGGGCCAGATCGCACAAAATCCGCCAGGTGGCTTACATAATTTAGAGCATGACCTACACGATGTGTGTTTAATTCACAGGTTTTCCTAACAGAGACTAGGCTATGGCTGACTGACAATCTCAAGGGGGTAAAAAGTGGCCATTCGTGTCTTCCAGTAAACCCTCTCTGTCAACGACTTATCATCGATATGCGACTGTCTGTGAGTGCTATATGCTGGAACTATAACTCAAGACACATCTCCTGCCTGCTGTCCCCTATTGAGGTCATTCGCGGACGGCACTAAAGCTTGCTCTAAGACGTTCCATACCATAGAATGTGCCGCCTTCATTGACGCGGGGTAAAACTGTATGTCTATAATTGGATGAAAACGAGTTTTAAACGAGCCGAGCTACCTTTTCTTTCAGCACGAGGTGATTTCGCCACAACCCTCTCCCTCCCATAATTTATTGATTAGCAGGACAATGAACGCGTAAAGCAAGCAAGCCTGCTGACGCCTGCTACCCAATTTATGCACCTACCGAGAATTCGACCGTCGTTGCCAACGATGTCCATCGTGTGCCCCCCAGAGCAAGATGAAGCAGGCACGGTGACTTGCGCATGAATTAGTTTATAGCGGCAGTAGACTTTCACAGCACCGACCGCACTCTCTCCTCCTCTCTCACCTGGACCCGGTGTTAAGACAGAGCCAAGAAGACCGGAGGCAGGGAAGGGTGCAGGTGGATGGCACGGTGGAGCCGACACCTCGGTTCTCCGCTCCGCACCCCCTGGTCCGCAAAACAAATGACCAGAATTATAACCAACAACAACAATGGGGAGGGCCGCAAAACCCAAATGTGCGCGACATCTGCCGGCAACTGGGTCTGCAACAGCACCCCTTGACTGTTGGCATTTGTTATGCTTCGCAATCCGGTTACGCCTGCCAGAATCCGATGTAGCCCCTGTGTTAAACCAGTGCATCTACCACGGGGCCCGTTTGGGGGGGGGGACATATGTACCCATCAGGCTCTCGTGGCATGACGCAGGAACTCTCTTTCATCAAAAAGCGAAAGCGGATAAGACGAAGCGTCTGATTTTGGCAGTTAACCAGTGATATCAATAGGGAATTGGAGGCGACGGCACTACTTACTCGATGGTAAACAAGAATGAAGGTTGTTTGGCAGACGTAGAAATTTAGCTCGAATGCAGTTTTGTAGATTTCTGGCCAGCGAACGGTGTCACCTTTGGCGATTTGTGAAATTCGTACACTGCTTTGACCAACGCTCATGAGAGCAAATACTGAAATGAAACATAAATGGCAGAATAAACTGAAGGACTGCGAATTTTCAGCGTCTGAAGAAACAGATTAGGGAAAGGAGCAGTGGCCTTAGAGCGAGTGTGTCGCTCACAAGAAAAAAACTTACTAGCGAGGCCAATTCGAAGGTAAAGATTGATAGGTTCACCGTGGCTGGAATATTTCACGATGAAAGAAACCTGTTCAATACTGTCGCGAGCTGACTCGAAGGTCTGGTTCCGTCGCACGAAAAAGTAAACGGTGATGCCGAAGAGTAGAAGGCTGCTGGTCGCGTACAAAGTGCCCAAGATCATGTCTTGGATGACAGCGGTGAGTCCACTCTAGAGTAAAAGAAAGGCAGAGTTCGCGAGGGCGTATTTTTCGTCATCAACTGGTCAAGAAGCTGACAAAAACTTGTTTCTTCCAGAATACCATTACCGATAAAGACAAGGGAGATTGTAATGGCCTTTTGTGGCTTACTAGCCGTCATCAGCCAGTCATATCCAATCCCGAAGTGTCGAGTACCTGAGGCCTGATCCCGCGACCTGTTGGTTAGAAGTCCAGCGCCCCTAACCACTGAGCCACGAGCTAGTTGACCTGTTGGTTGATATTAAGAATGTATAATGGTGGAGGGACGCTCACCGATCGTCCTTACGGAACTCACTCGTCCCGCTGTATATTTCCGGTTTTGCTTGTTAATATTTCCTCGACAAATTTTTTGATCATTGCAGCGTGCCAAGACAATTTGTGTCGACCCGCTGTTGATTATAGAAGCGGGGCAGGATGCATCTCTCTGTGTCACATTTTTGTGCTATAGCTTTTGTAAAATGTTGTGACCACGTGCGCAAGATGGGGATCTTGGTGGCGCAATAATCATATTCTAAACTACAGTAGATGTGCTAGCTCATGAAATGTCATCCAAAATTTCGAAATGCGTTCTCGTTTCGAAAAGATAAATTAAGTAGTGTTGTAAAACTACTCATGAAGCAGTATAAATCTATAATGATCCAGTTACCTCAGGGTGTCGGCATTTGAAATAACTTATTTTCGGCTGCATGCAAGATCTATACTCTGTAAAAAATGACTGCTTAAGTAGTATGCAATTTTCTAATTGATTTTCGATGCCCTTAAAAATTCAATTATATTTCGTGGAAAACATGCATACAAATATTCATTCTTTTACTTATTCGGTTGAAAATCACATCTTCTTCCAATTTCATGCTCAAAAAAAGAGTATAATTCGGTTTTAAAAAAATTTTCTAATTCCCGAATAATTTTAAACCCGACTTGCTGTTACACATGCATTCAGGGTTTCAAAACTACAAGCTGTATATTTTCCGTGTACGGAAAACCATGCATTTCTCTACGGTATCAACAGGAGATCATATGAGATTCATAAAATTAAGCAGTGGATTTGAGCAATATTGTTAACTTTACAAGCCACATTCGTAAATGCAGATACATGACGTTTCATGAACGGCCATTTAACGGTATTAAAAAATCTCACAATTAGAAACTTTTTTAAAACCGAACTATACTCTTCTTTCGAGTATGAAATTGGAAGAAGGTGTGATTTTCTAACGAATAAGTAAAAGAATGAATATTTTTATGCATGTTTTCCACGAAATATAATTGAATTTTCAAGGGCATCGAAAATCAATTAGAAAATTGCATACTACTTAAGCAGTCATTTTTTGCAGAGTATAGATCTTGCATGCAGCCGAAAATAAGTTATTTCAAATGCCGACACCCTGAGGTAACTGAATCATTATAGATTTATACTGCTTCATGAGTAGTTTTACAACACTACTTAATTTATCTTTTCGAAACGAGAACGCATTTCGAAATTTTGGTTGACATTTCATGAGTTAGCACATCTACTGTAGTTCTGATATCTATGCGTAGTTTCATGAATGGTAGGTTGGTGAATGTCGTTTTCAGTAAATGCCTATTCCGAATAAATACCGATAGGTACAGGAAAGACCATGATGGTCACTTTTGGCTCATTAGCGTAGTAAACCAACCATTCCCCAACTTCAGATTTGGAGAACACGAGCCGTGGTCTTTGCGCAGTGAACATTAAACCAAACGCTCTGACATTACGACACACGCCCGTTATCCTGCCGCTTGCCTCTGGAAATAATAACTGGCGTGACAGGGCTGTTCCCCAGTCTGCTTACAGTGCTCATCTCCTTACGATTTGGAAATCAATCTTCATCCCTCCGGGGTGCGGTTCGTGTCCTGGTTTACCTAAATTCGTGGTTAGGCTATGATTGGCTGGAAACAGTTAATAAGCCCGAAATAGCAATCCCAGTCTCCTTCGTCCTTCGTTGGCATTCAACAGCATTACTGGTCACTGTGCCACCGAGAGAGCTTCAAGGCCCAACGGGATGAGACTTAAACCTAGGCCGGTGAACGCTACCCCCGCGCTATGAAATACCTTTTTTGGGCGGATCACTTTTATGGATGCTTATGGTGGTAGCAGTCAATAGGTAAAACATCTGATAATCGTTGCTGCTTCTGGTGGCGTTCTGTTGATGATGCGCCGACTCTGAGGTGGAGAAAGTCGCCGCTCCCTGTAGGTCTGGCCATTAAATACTAGCTGCATCTACTGGTCATCCACGTATATGGAAGTCTTACGAAGTGGACTGAATGAACCACAACACCCTAGTTCGTCCGCTTCCTCTATACGAAAGTCGCAAACTAAGACCCTGAATGGCAAGTCAGTTTGCAGGATGTTGCGTGCCTCCCAGTTACTGGACAATGTAGGGGATGACTACAGTATTTTTGTAGTCATAAATGTGAAAAAGGAGACAATGTAGTCATTCGTATTTACTAAGGGCAAAGCCTGCAGGAAAAAGTTACAAGCTCATAACTAGCTGTTACTTAGTGAGTTCTACACCCATTTTCTTTCATACCAAACGAAGATATTCGTGCCAAGCTAACTATTAAGATCATCTGTGACGATTATCCTAGAGAATTGCACCCATGAGTTTTTCATGCTTTTCTAAAAGTCAGCACTGACAGAGGTATGCTATTTTACGTCTGTAGTCACGGTCGTTCCTTAACATGTAAGTGGAAAGTAACTAATTCTTCGTGATTCTCATCATCTGCCTCAATCTCTGCTAAAAAGCTATCTAACGTACAACAAGGTGGCAGAACAGACAACCAGGTAATTAACCAGGACTCATTTGTCACCGGTTCATCACGTTTCGCAACAGTGAGAATCCTGCAGGCCAGGACCGAGAATTTGAGATCCTTTCTTCTACCAAAGAAACGAGGGAAATCTCAACGTAAATCTTGCTTTCCCGGTCCACAAGCTCACCGGTTAGCTTTCGCAAGCGATCAAACTTTTTTTAGAAGAGTTAATCAGCAGAGGGCCAGCGAGAATGATGACTGGAGGTCACATGCAAACTATCTTTTTAGGGAGGTTCAGTGGTCGATTCCCTAATTGCCTGGGGTCGAGAGCTTATTTAGTTTGCGACTATTAATATTTGCTCAGGTCTCCTAGCCAAGTGGCGTGGAAACTCACTGGTCGAGAAGTGGACAAGAAGTACCAGAAATTTCGTGCCACGTGGTCGGTGTTGGTGGCGAGCAGGGAGCATATTCTCCTCCCAACAACGTTCTCCTGCCCATGCAGCTGCTGTGCTAAATGCCTGACTCAGTCATGCCTTGTAACTGGAACGTTCAAAGTGAAAATCCACATCATGAAAAACCAGCAGTGTGACAGTATCAAAAGTGAAAAAAAATATTGCGAGTGACAAATTTTTCCACATGCCTTTCTTTTGATGTGGATACAGAATGTGTGTTAGCTAACTTATGAAGTTGAGTACTAAGAAAAAAAAGGAAAATAATATGCGAAGATAAAAGAGCGAGAGAGAGGTCAGACACAGACTTACTTTCGTTTCATCCATGGCCTGAACTGACACCGCGATGCTAGTAGCCGCCATAGTTGATAAGTAGAGGATACATAAGACCTTCCGGTCATTGGTGCTACGGATCAAAATGGAGACATAAATGCAACGCTTGAGAGAGTCATGTCAGACTGTAATCTTCAATCTGCACGGAAAATGCGCCTAGGAGGCTGCATTGGTTATAAGAAAAAAGAGGCTTGCATGAACTGAGGATGTACACAACTCCATAGGCATTCTCTAGCACCTACATCTCCTTTTGTATGCAGACAGGAAGTCAACTCGGTATCGACAGTATCTTCATAGGGGTAGTTGGCCAAAATTCTGAAATGCGTCTTCGATTAGGAAGAATTACCTAGGTGGGGTTGTAATACTGATTAGCATTCAACAAAATTCTATGATATTTTCGACTTGACAGGATGTCGGCTTTAGAATACACTTCTTTTTGACACCCGTCAGAAAACATACTCGGTAAAAAATGACTGCTTATGTAGCATACATTTTTTACAGTCATTTTCTTTGAATCATCTCGAACCTTATCAGTCGTTGCATCAGTGGTTAGCTATTTCAGTTTACAAGCTGTATGCTTTCCGCGTAAAGAAAATAATATATTCCTCTATGCCTTTAAGAAGATACTATTTAGAGTTCATAAAATTTTGTAATGGATGCAAACTATGTCGTACATTTCATGAGGAGCATTGGTAAGCGGACATGTGCGATGCTGTATGTCTGGACATCGCACGGTCTTTAAAATGTCATAATTAAAAACGTTTTTAAAACCGAAGATGACCTTCCTTAGGGTATAATATGTGAAGAGAATGTGATTTTGTGCCAAATGAGTGAAAGAAGGCATACTTTTGTGCATGTTTTCAATAAAGTATATTTGAATTTATAAAACCATCGAAAATAAATGTGAAAATGCACGCAATTTAAGTGGTCATTTTTACCGAATGTGGTTTCTTCAGGGGGTCAAAAAGACGTGTATTCAAAAGCCGACATCCTGGCAAGTCCGAAATGTCATAGAATCGTGTCGCATAATAATCAATATTGCAACCCTACCTAAGTAATCCTTCCTAATCGAAAACGCATTTCAGAATTTCGGCCAGCATCTCATGAAATCAGTCACTTACTGCATGCCTATGTACATATATGCATATTTATATATGCGCCCTCCCCCGCCTCCAGTCTTCTTTACTATGTCTTGACACAGAATCCATGTGGGGGAGGAGAAGAGAGTATGTGAGATGCATCGCAAGCCTGCCATCACTATAAACTAATTCATGCGCAAGTCACCGTCCCTGCCCCACCCTGGTGTGAGGCACACGGTGCACATCATCGGAAGCGATGGACGAACTGTCATTTATATGTAAATATACATATACGTACATATATATGATCCAGACATATTTTCTTCTTAAGGGTATTTGAAGACGTGAGGCAAAAGGCTCAAAAAGAGAAGAAAGCCGTATGCGATCAAACCAGTCTTATGGACGATGCACAACAACGAATCGGCCGAAAGGGATGTTTCGGGTGACACAGGGTAAGCTGGTGCCGACGAAAATCCTCGGAGTTCTCTTCGATGGGAAAAAAACATCAAGGCGAGGGAACTTCGAACACTCTTCTCGTAATATTATGCAAGATTAATGTGCAGGACATAACAGAACTAGCATAGCGATCTAGAGACACTACGAATCATTTTCACCCGATGCGAATGCAGCGCCTAGGGGTAGAAACGCCTAAAAATGTAACTGCGTTCAGAAATTCTTTGGATAGGTATAACTGCTAACATACGATTACATGCTTTTCCTCCTTGCACCAAGAGCCTCGGGCTTCCACATTCGTCTTCACATGACTTTTTTTTTATCTTGATCGCACCTTTTTGTAGCCGATCAATGCCAGCTCACACGGCCATTTCTTTGGGGATGGGGATGAACGGAAATATGACGCTAAATGCTATTATTATTTCGTCAAGAGCTACTAAGGAGGCATCTGTTGGATACAAGAAATATCCGACAAGCCATTTAGGCTGTTCAAAGGAAGGGGCGTGGCTTTAAACGAATTGTTTTTTATAAAGAAGGATTCGCCTGTGGATTTTCCGAAAACACTAAAAACATGCTACGGCCTCAATGTCTCTTCACATACTGCGTGCTCACTCGTCCTCAGAATCTAAACCCAGTTTTAAAATGAGGAACAATGGTAAACTCAAAAACCTGCGCACTTATGCAAAAAGATACAAGTAAGCGCATGAAAATTATTTAGGACAGTGTATTATTTAAAAAGGGGAATAGTAACTGCTGTAGCATGTCAGAAGCAGGAGTAATTGATTGAAATGAGGACCAGTCAAAAATGAGAAAGACTGAGCGCTAATCCTTCTTCTGTAAGAGATCTGTGAAATTCCAGTCGGTGAACTGCAGCGAAGACTTTGAAACCTAGAACTGTCAGACTTCTTGGTAAAGGATTTCTCGATAATCGCGCGATAGAGAGAGGGAGAGAACGTTCAAGAGCTCTAGGGCGAACGAAGCCGGCATGAGCCGGTGCACGTCTCTACCAAACAAAGCTCGCGTTTATCTGACCCAGCTGTGAAAAACTCGGCGACCTAGATGGGATTCGAACCGACGACAACAAAGGCAAGGACCGAGTACAGCCAACGGTTCCCGGTTGGGCGTCTTAGCTTAGGTGGCCAGAGGGTTGGCTGTACCCATGCCCTCCAACTGACGTCGTGGGTTCGAATCCAACTGAGGTAACTGAGTTTTTTTCACAGCTCGGTCACAATTAATGGCAACCTCTCATAAATCAAAAAGAAAACATCATAATGGGCCATTTGCGTGCTTGAGGGATTACTTCATTATTCTTAACCGGGATGAAGGTATAAAAGGTCTAGCAAGACAACGCGCCGTGTGTTAACCATATTCTCATCAAGCAAAACGAGCTGATTTACGCATCGAACTGCCCTGAGGACTCTGCTGGAGAGAGCAGCCGGAATAAGTTCTTGCTGGTCACATCGCTCGAAAAAGCGTTAGTAGATATCAAGCGCGGTTACCTAGGCCTACACACTTTTCATATTTTTGTTTCTCTCTGCTTGTCTGAGTTTCCTACCACCGCCTTGTAACGGAAGAATATTAACGTTGTTTTCTGCATATAATTGAGCCAACTGCTTTCAGTTTTCAAACTAACTTGAAGCACGCCTTTTCGTCGGTCAGCCAGGGATACGTACTGGTTTCAAAATTCATGCCGAGCCATCGTGTTAAATTAGTCAGCATAAGTGACGATGAGTCTATCAGAGGTCGGTCTACCGGGTGGGAGTCGAACGGGCAAGCGGCTAGCAACGCGCAATCATTCTAACAGGCACGGTTTGTTCAAATGGACTTCAGTGGTGAAGCCAATCGGGCTACCAACCAGACTGGGATGAAAATCATCCTATATATTATAGTGTCAAGCGGACTTAACCAAAACAACTGATTCAAACATTTCATTAGGACCAGAAAAGTTAATGATTTTCAGTCCGTCAGACTGTTGGCTTTTCACAATTCAGTTAAGTGGATTTTGTGTCCTCAAATCCCTCGACAAAGGCAAGGCTACTGGTAGCAGGCTGAGGTCGATAACATTGTGGCGTATGCTAAAAGCCTCCAGAAAAGTATGCTGTTGCTGCGGTCGTGCAGTAATTTCAATTCCCTGCACCCAACCAAATACTAAAGAAAGACGACTGAATCCGAGAAAATTAACAGTAGTGTTCGAACGGAAGACTTCCGCAAGTATTGTCACTGCAGTGGTGCACAAAATGCACGAATGTCAAACATCACTCACCGCTTAAGCAAGTGCGCCGATGAAGTTTGCTCGTCAGCCCTGTCAGGCATCGTGCACAATAAAAGTGTTCAAGTAAAATGATTAGTCCCTCAAGTAAAATGTGTATATTTCGACATGAAACACTCCGGCTGAGCTGTTCTTTCGGATTGGCGGTGCAAGCTCATCAGCCCAGAGCACTGAACTACCTATCTTCTTAGCAGTTTCAAGGACTCTGCGTGAACGAATTACCTGCTAGCTGGATGATAAGAGCCTACTGTTTAGAAACTGTTGAGCCCACTGTGATTGGTTGAGTGAGTCGACCTCGGTGCAGACCCCAATCCGCTGGGCGTTGCATGCGCAGCACGCCAGGTGGGTCGTTTCGTATGCTGTACTGCCTCGTGCTGGCAGGATTCGCAGAGAGTGGCGTTAGAAGTTTACACTTATTCACTGTTCTACTGTTCGCTTTAACCTTCATCCGGTGAGCCGAGTATTCAGAGGGTTCGAACTAATAGAGGCAACCTGTCCTTTCTAAGGAGGGTGCACGAAGAGAAGGCTTAATTGCTGAAAATCAAGAAAATCAAGCAGAATTACCTCACCACCGACGTGGCAGTGGGTCTTGAGTTATCGGATAGGGTTAATTATCCACCTACTCGGGCTTCACAATTTCGAAATGGCTTCAGCATAACGCCTACGACCATCCCACAGCAGGCCAGTTTTTTTTCTTCTCCTAGTCTCCGCCATTGCCTCGTTTTCTATGCGCCGTTTTCAATTGCTTGTGTAATACCTATGAAGCGCTTATTGTCAAAATTAACAAGGCATAATTCGTAGCTTCTGAAATCTGTCTACGATCTGAAGACAACCATTTCAATTGGGTTCTAAGCAAATGATATTGTTTCTCATGTCGGTCGCATATCAGATAATGTTAGCCTGCTAGGGTCGGGTAAACATCTTTATGATATGTTGCGCGTGACCTTTACACATTCCTTCCCTATCATTTAGTAAAATGTAAGCGAATTATGCCTGTGCCGATAAGGAGACTTCTGCAGCCAAGTTGCTGCATTGACCTTTGCACTCGAAATTGTTCGTTTCCTCTACAGCATCGCTTCATCACAGAACCATTAGTGTTACCGTATTGTCGAAAAGAGCAGGGCGTTTTTTTGTAAAATTAATACCAACAAATACAGGGAAGACCAGGGTGGTCATTTCTGTCTTATTGGTCGCCTTCAGTCAAACATGCTCAAACTTGGATTTTGGATAACCTGAGATTCCAATCCGAGACTTCAAGTCCAACGCGTAACAGGTTGGGGGGAAGGTAGACCGACTTCAGACATATTTCGAAGAGCTTTGGCGGAGGATTGACGTTACGGTTGAACGCCGTATGCGAATGTTATGCTATGCACGTTAGATACAAGTGAGAAATGTTGCACTTATATCACCACCCTCCCCCCCCCCCGTAGACCTCTGATGCACCCCAATTAGCATGAGAAAAGTATGTTTCAAAGGTCGATCGCGCTGCTGATAGTGGTATGACGCGATTTCTGGCAAACCTGTTGGACCTCGGTTGCCACATACGAAAGCCAAGTTTATTTTGCCTGCAGAACCGTCAGTCAAGACCTTTCGTGTGAGCCGTCTTTGTTATCGTCCAGACGCCTGTGTTTCATTGCCAGCTGCATTATGTACCATGTAGCAAACAGTCCTCGGCAAAATGTCCGGACGTTTGGGAGCATAAATAGTCATATGTTATTTTGCCTGCGGCTGAGGCTTCAAAAACAGGGCTGCAGGGCTTGGAGGCAGATATTATGCAATCAATTAGTTTGAGCGCTCTTAACTCCAGGGGAATGCTGCGTATTTATTCCTATTACGTTACCTGTAGTAGATAGTTTGTGCAAAAGTCTACTCCATTGTGCTTTCAATACAAGCACAAAATAAAAACTTGGACAGATACTCCACCAACTACCTGAGTCGGAAGCTGCGCAATGCTGAATTCATTTAGGGGGTTGGAAATCATCCAACGTATGAGAGGCATTAAAGAGTAACTGTCTAAGTGATGCATACTTCTTTAATTTGTCGGAAAAGGCCGAACGATGCTGGGGAATACTTATTAAAACAGGATTCCCAGCAAACAGGCGGGCCAGAGTATATTTTTGTCGGGTGGCCCTATTCCGACGCGTTAATCGGGTCCTCAAACGTAGACCGGCAACAAATTGTTCCCTGACCCAGTTGAACTGCAACGGTCGCTCTTATCTAACAAGTATGAGGTTGCCTAGGCTCACTTCACATTTTTCAAGATGTCTCCCAATAATTAGGCACCGCAGACGATGACGGAGCGACCGAGTGAAAAGAATTTAATGAAAATTGGTATGGCTGCTGCCGCAAGTGGAGTCTTAGTGTAGCATTGATCTTCTGGTGAGCTATTTGATCTTTTCAGTGTGATCGTTTCACTTTTAGCCAAACTACATAACGTCAGCATGTTTTGGTTGTCCGGCTAGGCATTCCGCAAAACAAGATGCGATTACGTCCTGACAGATGAGACGCGGCTAGATCGAAGCTGGTAGCCAGGACTTAGGAAGCGGACGGCGACCTTAACCCTAACCCCAACCTCAACCTTAAACTTTAATCGTTAACCCTAACGACAGCCTTGACCCTAAACCTAACCGAGCTCGTAAACGTAACCGTAGCTCTTAGACATAGGCGTAACTGAAAAACCTAACCGTAATACTGAAATCTATTCGTACGCCCAAAACCTAAACGTAGCCCGAAAACCTAGGCCTAAATGCATAGCCCTAACCCGAAGATCGGAAACCACTAGCCGGCACCCTAATCCTAACCTCAAACGTAAAATGGAAGCCAAATGGGTCAGATGTGATTATGGAACCCCACAAAATAGCTCCAGTAAACAACCCCCCCAGCCATCTCTAATACGGGGCCTGGCTACCAACTGCGATCTAGCCGATGACGCTTCCCCAGCTAATTACAGTGGGGGGTATTTTAGTCATCAATGAAGACAGCAACACCAGTAGTGGGTACACAGTTCTCTGCCACGAGGGAATACAAGAATGATAGTCATGTTATTGAGCGCTCTGGAGGCGCTGTCAATGCGAACAGAACATTGAATTAAATGGGGAAGGTGAAAAACAACGCCCGCGACAGATTAAATCGGTTTGCAGATGCTGACAGATTATATCCTCGGCTCCGCTTTCAACGGATGATACGACCACGGCCTTTATCTGGTGTCCAGCGGATCAGGAGCTCGGGCGGCTTTGCCCACTTTCAGCCGAAACAGAACGGCAAGTCAGTCAGGGGCGTCATTATAACTGTGGGATTAGCGCATATGTTGTCATTAGCGGTCATTTGAAGCTCGTATAGAGTCTTGATTACAAAAAAGGCCCTTGTCTTTGCGAGCTTAGGGAACAAAAACACTCAACATAAGTACCTATGAGGATGATATTATTTACTGCTTACGCTGGAACCTCACACAATGTAAATATAAAATGCGACTAACCATCTAATCAAAGTGGAATGCTTGCCTTAACCATGGGTAGAGGTATTTCGGCCGTGGTTTCTGACGATGTTCACTGTGTGCTCCACAGCAGGGTGGGAGCAGGGACAGTGATTTGAGTAGAAAGTCGTTTATAGTAATGGTACACTTGCACAACAACTACTGTACTCTCTCTTCCTCCCCCACCTGAATCCGGCGTTAAGACAGAGTTAAGAATACCGGAGGGGAGAGAGGGCGCAGGTGGCTAGCACGACGAAAACCCGCACTCAGGCGTGCCACCACACACCCTTGTTCACAACAGACACTAACCAGGAATTTATATCACAACAAAAATAGGGATTTCTGATAGAAGCGAACAGGCGAGTTACAGGTAGCAGTTCAGAAGACGAAGATGTGATCACTGGAACAAGAAATTTATTTTGGCGGGCTCTTCCGTACGTGAAGAACGTCTCAGAAGCCGTTAGTCATCTTCCCACTCCACTTGGGGTTGGGGTTGCACACAGGCCGAAAGCAGCCATTAGGCGTCAAGTCGTGCGGCCGAAAGACCCACTGCCACGGCAGAAAACGTCTGGAGTCGTTTACCGGATCTGGTGCAGTTGCGGACAAAACAACTATGTCGGAGGAACTGGGAGATCACTCCGTACGCGAAATGTCGAGCACGCAGCTGCAGTGAGGCTGGGTGACGCTAGCTCTCAGGTGGCGGCTCATTCGACGGGACCCGGCCATACTTTCAAGTTTCAAGAGGCCGAAATCGTCGCAAGAGGTGACAACCGCGTGAGGCGCGAGCTGCTTGACTCATGGTTCTCAGGCCCGCAATCTATTAACAAGTGCAATGACCTCCCGGTACCATATTCCGTGCTGAGATTTTCCCTGGGGAGCGGAATCAGTCACGAAGGGAGGGCGCTGGCGAGCCATTATCCCAGTTGTCGCTGAGCCAATTTGCCGAACAATCGTCACACCAGCATCCAGCACGGATGACGAAATCACAGCAGTTAACGACTCGGGCTCGGGCTGAAAAGCCACCATCGCATCAATTTCGATCCCAGCGGTGATTGCGAGAGCTGCTAATTACAGTGCGCATATGGTCCCACGGCAGCCACTTGCTATAAATACCGCACTCCTTGTGCCACCATTACCCTTGTCTGTGACTGTCTCTGATGATGGATTCGAGTAAGAATCCGAAACGTCAGGCCAATAAATTTCTTGTTCCAGTGATCACGTCTTCGTCTTCTGATCTACTGTACTCTCTCTTCCTCCCCACCTGGATCGGACGTTAAGACAGAGTCAAGAATACCGGAAGAAAGAGAGGGCGCAGGTGACTAGCACGACAAAAACCCGCACCCAGGCGTGCCACCATACACCCTTGTTCACAACAGACACTAACCGAAAATTTATACCACAACAAAAATAGGGATGTGGCACGGATCCCATTGGGCGCGGCGTGAGCCGGCACGCAAGCGTGCCACCAACCACGCTCGCCACCCCTCCAACGTTGGCATTTTTTATGGGTGCATCTACCGGACCCAGATCTACAGTAAGTGACCGATCTCATGAATTGTTGGCTAAAATTCC